CGAGTCAGAGCTTAGGTTCACTTCGGAAAGTTATGTGGAGTTACGGATGAGGCTTTTATCTATAACGTTGATGTGAGTCGTCGAAATGCCCGAGTGTTGTTCTGTCACCGTCGTTGTTGTTTGAGCCACTAAAACCTGGCAGTTAGGAAACTCTAGTTTTGGCTTGTTGAAGTGAGGCTGCATGAAAGAATAAGGTTTTAAGATTGAAGACAAATTTATCGATAAGCTTTATCTGGTAGTGAAGCCTGTCTTTTATTGTGTTTTGTACAGAAGTTACTTATTTGTTTGAATCGCCTGTATGTGCTGTTGTTACCAGTTCATTTGTATTCCTTCCAGTGGTGCGCTTTGCAGTCTACCAAATGAAGGTTGCGATTCTTGATGACTGTACCACAATCTGACGTATCACCTTGATTGAACTGCCCCAATTATCCACCATGTCATTTCTAATACCAATATGGGCCAAAATGCTTCTAAGACACTAAATAGAAAGTTAAGGAAATTAAAGCATCAACACCACATGCACCATATCGTATATCGGCTTCAGAGCTCACTTAACTTGATTAGCAGAAATAATCCACCCCGACTCAAGTATTTTTGACCATTCGGAATAGAGCTTAATGTAGCAAAAACTTAGACTTGTCAATGAATCGGCATTTCCAATCATGTATGGAATCAAATTCTCTTAACACAAAAAGAAAACTTCTCATACCCTTTAGTACCGACCCATCACATAACAACGGCTCCCATGTATAACGACAGTCGCAACTCCTCCCAGTTACGCGTAGCAGACCTCTCTCGCGCTAACGTAAATAGCCATAACAGGGGCTACGAGTCTAACAATCAAGACTATTTTGTAAATAACCATACACTTCACAGTAAGCCTGTACAAGATTTTTTTGGAATAAGACCCCTAGTGACACCTCTGTTGAAGCATATAGCCCAGGTTATTTCAAACCACATGCAAACCATAAATTTGTTTTCTTCGTACAGTTTCCATCACAGAGTACTCCCACCCTTTCCTCCTGGGTAAACTCCCCAATCAACTTCACCAGCTCATTTGATACATCTCCCAATAAGTTTAACTATCAAAATACCGAGCTAATGAAGAACATCCAATCCCTCACATCAAACTTATCTTACACTCGCGAGGGTTACGACGACTTTATCCGAAATACCCTCACCCATTTTAACTTAGTAGGCCACTTGCTTAATATATGTCTTATCAACGCTCGATCGATCTGCAACAAAAAGACGGATTTAGCCCTGTTTGTATCCATATACCAACCATCAGTTATTATGATATCTGAAGCATGGACGAACAGTGATATTTCCGACCGAAGCATATCTCTAGATAACTATTCCCTATATAGAAGCGATAGATTGAATGGACGAGGCGGAGGATGCCTTATTTACGCTCACTCTAGCCTGAACTCACTGCTATGTGATATGCCTGAACTAAACAAACTGAAGGATTCGGTGTGGATTGTATTAAAGCCGTCGAATTCCGTTACCTTACTGCTCGGCTGTGTTTATCGTCAACCTAACGCATCAATAGATGAAATAGCAGTATTATCGGAGGTATTCACACTAGCATCATCCCTCTCATTCACAGGCAAGCTCATTTGTGGTGACTTCAATATGCCCGAAATTTCTTGACTGCCAGTCAAAGCGCCGAGACGTTATGAATCATTTATTGAATGTCTAGAGCTTGGACAATGGACTCAGTATGTCGATAGCCCTACCAGACATCAAAACATCTTAGACTTAGTCTTTACCAGTGGCCTCATCCCCAATACTTTGTATATTGGAAAAAAGTTCCCAGGTAGTGATCATAACATTGTCATATGCAGCCTTAATGTAAAAGCCACAACCGATAGAAGTAAAACCGTAACACTTCGTAGAAACTATCGCAAGGTTGATTGGAATAACTTCCACAATTACCTAAGAAGCACTGATTGTAGAACTTTCTTTACCTCAAACAATACCGACACATTAACCAATATATTTTATCACAACATCAAAAGTATCATCAACAACATCGTACCTATGTTGTCCAAAAATCTCTATATACCGGTCAGTACAAGAAGACGTCTTCAAAGACATTGTACTCGATTCCACAACTTAAATGACTTTTCCTCTTTAGTAACGATGACAGAAATACTTGTCCGAACAGAAGCAATAAGTAAACAAAAAGCAGTAGCACAGGAAAAACGTGCAGTTGAACTTAATAATAACTCCTCTGCACTCACCATACTACTCCAAAATAAACTTAAACGGTCTAAATCAAGAGGGAGTATATTCATTAAAGGCAAACAAGTATACGAAGATCCCAAACTTGTCACAGAATTATTTAGTGAACATTTTTGTTTTTCACTAACTAACGAAAAACCATTTAATGATTCAGAACCAATCCCAGTAACTCCTTGTGAAATCACTAATGTAGAATTCAGTGTACAAAATATCTCCAAGGCAATCAGTACATTGAAACACTCCTACACTGAGGGACCAGATGGTATTCCATCTAGCTTGCTAATACGTGGAGGTGATGATATGTGTGTTTTGCTTCTCAAACTATTCGCGATATCACTCTCTTCAGCGTGTTACCCTACAGCCTGGAAAACTACACATATCATTCCCCAAATAAAACGGGACCTGAAGCAAACGTTGAAAATTACCGGCCTATAAACATAACTTCAGTGGTATCGAGAGTGATGGAAAAAGTAGTTAAGGCGGCTGTAGTCCAACATCTATTAACTAACAATCTCTTGTCGACCTCCCAGCATGGATTTCTTAGGCCCAGATCATGCGATACATGCCTAGTAGACTACCTGAATGATATAACTCTGAAACGAGACAGCGGACTCCTTGTATCAGTCCTATTCCCAGACTTTAAAAACGCCTTTGATAAGGTCCCACACAAAAGACTACTCGTCAAACTAAAGTCCTTCGGAATACACAACCCACTGTACTCATGGTTTGCTTCGTTCTTAACAGAACGTAAACAGATGGTAAAGTACAATGACTGTCTCTCGTCCCCTAGACCAATCACCAGTGGAGTCATCCAGGGAAGCGTATTAGGTCCACTTTTGTTTCTTATGTATATAAACGATATATGTAACACCATAGAATTTGGGAAACCGTACTTATATGCTGATGATCTCAAAATAGTATACAGCTATAAGCCTGAAACACTAAGCGAAAGTGTATCCCAGATCCAAAACGACCTCAATAACTTAACTATATGGAGTGAAAAATGGCAATTACCATTTAACCTCAACAAGGGCGGGATCATGCACTTTGGAAAGCATCCCTATAAACCGCGACTTCACTTAAATGAATGTATAGTTCAAACACTCGAATCAGTACATGGTTTAGGAATTAATTACACAGGAAGCCTAAACTTTGAAGAACATGCCTCCTCTATTATTTCTAAATCTAGACGGCTAATTGGTTTTAGAATGAAAAACTTTTTCACAACAGAGGGTAAACTTACTCTCTACAAAATATGTGTACGACCCACCCTTGAATACTGCTCTTTTGTCTTCTCTAATATGAATATCGCAGACAAGATAAGAGTAGAAGATGTTCAAAGACGTTTCACACGTCAACTACTAGGATGTAACTCGAATCTCGATTACACAGACAGATGTAAGCATCTATCTTTAGAACCTTTATGGCACCGTAGGCTAAAGAACAATTTAATATTTCTCTACAAAGCGATATATGGGCTCTCCTTTCTAACCTCCTGCCCGACTATGACCCACGACCCAGCCTATAGGCTTAGAAACAACGCATATACACTACTTACCGTAAAACACCAAAAACAAATGCGTTGTAAGTTCTTTACAGTACGGTACAGTTTATTGTGGAACAGGTTGCCAATGCCTATCCGTAACTGTGATACGTTTATCAGATTCAAAAAGCTAATAACTCTATTTCTAGACTCCAAAGAGCTTCAACATTTCCTTGAACTCCCGCCCACCAATGAGGCACTTTATTACGGACCGTCTAGTATCTAGAAAGAACAAAATTATAACAAGTTCGACTGTTACTAATCTGAATATAACCAAATCACAGAATATCTGGCTTATCCTTTCCTATTATTCATTGTTTATTAATCATGACTTCATGCTCCTAACCCTAGCTTTCAGTCCCCAAATCTCTGCAGGTTAAATGTACATTATTCTTCCTAAAAGTCATGCCTTTTTTTTCTACTGCAAGTAGACAGATAGCACAATCTTATGGATGCTGATCTACTAATGTCGATCATTCAAAGCTCAAAATTTAGCCACAAAGCCTTGTGAGTTTCTCAATGTTTTATTTTTCTCACCCTAAAATCTTTTCTTTTCTACAATTTTCTACCCTCTCATATCTTTTGATTTACTATTAGTCCTTACTTCTTTAAACCATTAGTTATTTTCATAGCAGTGTGACATACTATATGGACATCTAACCCATAAAACAGAATTTTTAAATATCTGATTTGCTTGTAACATGGACCTAGTAGAGACAGTGTATTCCAACTATGTGCTTTGATTAAAGCATTAATCATACTTACCACAAACGTAAGAGAGCCTAACATCACAAAAGGAGGGAGGGTGGCGTTACTGACCAGCAAACATGAAGGTGGGGAGATAACTTCAATCCACCCATGTCTGTAGGGCAGAACATTTTGTTTAATTACGGCTCCTTATGGTTTAGTGGGATGTCACGGACTTATGGTATTGGAGCTGATTTATCATGCAAAATACCTCTTTAAATCGTGTTACGAACGTTGAATTGGTTTCACTTCCTACTCAGAAATCCTATTACAAGCAAACTAGACAATTCGCTAATATACGAAGCCTACTCAAGACCCTATAAAACCTGAAAAAAAAACAAATAAAAAAAACGAAAGGGGCTCTAATAGCTTCGATAATAAAAGGAAGATAGCCAGTTGTATATCACAATACTGTTTCTAGCACTACATTTTATATTTTAATCACACATAATCTTATACTCTCAGCTCTTTTCCGAATCGCCTCCATTTGTCAGTTGTATATACAACATATGTCCATGGACATATGTTATGTTCGTCAGTATTGTTGACTGTAACTATAGAGCCGTAGGGAGGTTATCACTTTAAATTAGTACCTACTTGATTTTCTTTTCTTCTATTTCGTTTAATCATCTTGTCTCGGAGGTCGTGAATGTAACCTTGTGTCGCTATGTCGTATAGCTTACCAAGGTCTTTCTCATTTACAGAGGATGACAAAAAACGATGAGTTAAGGCACCTGAAGTTTAAGTAATAGATATAGGTTACTTCGTATGCAGCTGTAAAACGTGCATTTATGTAGTGCTCGTTTAGAAGAGGTGCCAAGTAACGTGAATTTACTGGCAACCTCCGGTGTCAGCAGATGCGACAGAATAAAACGCATGGACGTTTTTGGATCGTCACCTGATAACCTAGTGACCATTGCCATCTGTAATAGTAACAAATTATTAAATTCATGTCAATGACTTACAAATCTGTCCCTGGTTTCTTTCTGCGACAAACCAGTGTCTAGCATCTGTAGTTCCTCTTCAGATGACAAAGGGAACTGCTGACTTGACAGTCCGCAATCGAATTCATGCGGTCTTTCGCGCTCATTAGACTTTGAAAGCAATTGGTTAACATTAACATTCAAGTTCGTAATGGCGGACGACATGTTGTTAATCGTTTTAGTCAAGTCATTGATAGCTGACGACATCTTCAGCACCACAGCATACAACCTATCACAGGTGAAAAAGGTCACTAGATGATGCAGTTCACTTACTGGTCCAATACAGCGCCACCAACATGCTTACATTCCGATGTCGATGGTGATGTCTCTAATTGTGTTGAACTACATAGTGAATATGTAAATAGTAATTAAACGTACTTGGCGATTGGAGATATCACTTTGTCGAAAACACGAAATTTGGGATATTGTACGCGGATATTCCCAGCCTGCATCTCAGCCACATCCATGTCTACTGAATTGTAAAGAAAATCTTCTTTACGTTTCATTACACCTCTAGGAAATGTTAGTAAGATTATTGTACAGACCTCTTGGGCTTCTCAGTGTTATGCGGCAGAGTGTTTTCATCCGTTGAAGTGTTTTCAAGGTGAGATTGCAGTATTTGCAGGGAAGCTAACAGATCTTTTGCAGACTGCAGAGATTCTATAGTGAATTATAGTTTCCATGATTGTAGCTTACCTAATTCATGAATAACCTTACACTTCATAAGTGACCAATTGTCATTAGGTTGGTCGCACTTCTGAAGGTGTATATCGACCATCTCATTCGGAAAAGCGCAAAGGTCATTGCCAACTATCCATTTTTTTGATGCTATCATAAGTTGTTTTTTTTTAAGGGCGTCAACAATAACGTATTTCTTGTTAGTGGGCTGAAAAGAACATAAGACGTAAGTAAATGGTTTATCATCACTAATTAAACACTAATGAAACGAAATGCATTTACAATAAAGTATGCAACAATGGGATTACAACTATGTAATTGGTACAATTGATGGCTATACATTTACAATCAATGTTCTTAACTGAAACCCATGTGTATTCATGGCTAACTACGGAGCACATAAAGATTCCAATATCACTAGATGGGAAAGGATCTTCAAAGTAATTGCGTGGGTCAATGAAAGTCCTAAATTTTAGTAGTCCATCATCCTTTATGTCAGTAACTAAACCGGGCTGGCCGTTAACTACTACTACATTATCCGGTTTATATGAACTTATTCTGCTGTTGTTAAACATAATTACTTGTTTCATGGAGACATCATTAGCGCCTATTGTGGTAGTATTTGTTAAACCACTAATTTGAAGCCTATCCCTGAAGGACACCTCTGATGCTTTTCGGAATGTCAGGGATAAAAACTCTTAGACCATACAGAACCCGATCAGCATCCCTTATGCTCAGAGATGTATTTGACATTAGATACATCATCAAGTCGTTCATCATTTCTTTGCGATTCACGAACTTTGGAGAGAACAGGTTCACTTCAGGAGATCCTATAATATATATATTCACGTATGAACTTAGTATACATACCACTATTATCTGAAAGTCCTTGATTGATGTTGCTAGTCGATGGTGTAATAGCTGAAGTACTGTCATTACAAGTGATTTCTCTCTTTACTTCTATCAATTTAATAAACAACATTGTTGAACGCAGTTACCTTTTAAGGTGCTTTCATTAGCAAACTCACTGAACGAAAGAAAGTCATATTTTTTCATGAAAGCAGCTCTCATTTTATTCCACCTTCTGTTATAAATGGATCTATGACAGCCAAGGGAACGTGACAAGTTCACAGTGGCCCTACGTCTACGAACATTCTCACTGACTTCAACAGAACTCTTAGTATTGGCCTAACAATGTAATTAATTACAATGAACATAAAAATCTGAGAGCACGTCACTCACCTGCATCACGTAAGTTTTTTGTGATGGCTCCCAAGCATGTCGAAACACTTTAGCTAAACAACAAACGAAGTCAGTCTATATGCGTATGAACCGAATGCCTGGTTCCGTATTTTGTACCTTGTTTTTATGACAATAGTTTTGTTTTTTTATTAGGCGGTGCCTTAATTCGTCGAAGTATATGAAAAATGAAGCTCCACAAGCGGTTCATTCAAATACTGTACGTTACATAGAATTGTCGACAAATTTCCCCCAAATACACGACGTAAAGGGGAAAAAGCGACATTTCCCCTAAATAACCGACGTAAAGGCGAAAAAGCGACATTTCCCCTTTATTTCCCCTTTTTGTGTTGCTTGGGCACTCACACCTTGCTAAAGCTTATTTTCTTTAACCTATTAAAATGCTCTTTCTTAACAAATACCTTAATAAAAGAAAATTAGACTGAGTAATCATACCTTAAACATTCCTTCATGAATATTGGCTACTCTGCCTCTCGTGTTTTCTTTTACTTGCTCCCTCTTTCAGCCCCCTTGAGATATGGAACGGGTTACTTCATCCTGCACTATCCTTAAAGCCTTGGATATCCCAAAGGGACATAAGGTTGCGATTTCTAGAAGCTCCTACCTTCAATGGACCTATCCTTGAGCATCAGTCGCACATTCGCAACGCAACTGTCGTGAAGCGCGCCAACTGTAGTACTGATTAAAACAATCTACATTCATGTCTCATAAATTATCAACCCAGCTATGTAGTTTAATACAGTGTACATTGTATCATTTGTATCAATTTGATCTTGCCTGTAAACTGGCATGCCTCATGTAACAAACTGTTATTTGAGAATACATTATTATTATTATTATTATCATTATTATTATTATTATCAATTAATGACAGCAATGTAGATGACCCCAATATTATTTGTAAACAATTCAAGCACCATCTCCTGCGGTTCTTCGTTACGGAAAACGGAACCACTATCGACGTACTAACAATATTGACAAATAAGCATGTACCTGCAGTCGATTTTACACCTATCAATATCAACCAGGTGTGAAGATGGAAGTGCTAATCTGATGGTATTTCTGCATCATTTGTGGAGTAGCGTGGCAGAGAATGTCCATTATTTCGGTTGTAACTCTTCAACCTATCCATGGGCTATGGTACCTATCGATTTATATGGAAAGTATTTCTTATCATATATAGATTCAAACGGGATTACTTGGTGAAATAGTTAAATATAGGGTCACTTACTTGACATCCGTACTCTCAAGAACCATAAAAAACAGCAAAATGCCATTATCATTTTAACTCTTAGGAAACCTGATTAACCCATTTCAACATGGGTTTATGATACACGCTCATGCTTGACATCGCACTTGGGGCTTTTCGGCCACATTACCCAACGAAGAGATGCTGGTTGATTGATGATAATTTTATGCTTTGAATTTATTAATCTCTTAGACAGCGTCTCACACAACTTCCCTCTTCTAGAATTTTCATTATTTGACATGCGGTGTTTTTATCCTGGCTGAAATCGTTTTACGACAGAATGTAACAGAATCGTTTATTTTGGATCTCGCTACTCTAAGCTCATGATTACAGCCAGTGAGGCTGCACACAAAGTGAATTTGGCACATCACTCTTCCTCCTTCTGATTATTTACGTGTGTTTACTCTTCCAATATGGGAAACCACCCCTTTTTGTCGATGACCTAAATGTGGTTTGTTCATTCTGGTCAGTTACCAAAGAAGGCTGTATTTCAGCTGTAACCAAAGATGACACAAAGAAGTTGCACGAGTGGGCTTATTATTATAATATATTATTATCACATTATTTATTCACATATCGGGTTCTGCATAATAAGGAAAGGCATGAATTACGGAAAAACGACCACTCCATGCCGAATAATTTTTCCTGCGTTCACCATTGCCAACCTCCTCCAAGTATTATGTGCCAAATACCAATGTTCTTAATAATTATGTGATCAGTTTAGAGAGTTGTGTAGTTAGGAACCAATACCACTACATTACTCTCCCACTAGAACCAAAGTGAAGTTGGTTCGATACCAAGTCGAGTGGAATTTTTACGCTCTGGAGGCTGTTAAAAGAGGTAAAAATCCTCCGGGTATTGATAAGCTGAAAGATAAATCGAAAAGAAAACGGCGTGGACTGGCCGCGAAACATATGTAATAATTTCGAGATGTCTGGTGAAATGCTTAACATGCTTAAATTGAAGGTCCTCGTGAACATTATTTAAACGTCAGGTAAATTGGGAAAGTAATTTAGTTTAGAAATATTTTGACAAGTCACATTAAGATGCATAATAACAGTTCTTTGCACTTAATGACAACTTTCGTAGCACCATTCCAAACTATTGCTGCTCAAACTATCATTTTGCCACCGAATCTTATTACATTAAAGATTTATTTTCTTATTTACTTATTTTTTGATTCATTTTGTAATACATACATTGTCATTCACGCTTGTCCAGTTTTACAAACGCACTTGTTGAATTGTTTTCATATTTTATTTTTCTTTCCCTCACTTTTCTCCTGTTTTTCTCTGAAGTCAACCCAACATTCCTCTAGGTTCCACAGAAATGGTTTAGTACACCAAATGTTATTTAAAATATATTCGGACTTGTGTATGATTGCATTTTTGAAGGAACCTGAAGTGCTTTCTTCACAACACCTGTGTACCAAAAAGCTGTTTTTGGGTAATAAAAATCGTTACTTATATTTTCTCCATCTCAACAACCCACACATACCGGTTATCATCTTGACTAGATTAATTATTCTGATCTTTCTGATCCTTTTCTCATTTATATATGACCTTAAGTATGTGTGTGTTGCCAATGTATGTGTCAATATATATTTGCTTGTATCTGCCGCTCTCACAAATGTTGAGTCACGTTGAATTGTTGCCTTTCTTACTACGTGTCTATGTAAATAAATTCCCAGAATATACTCTTTCAACTGAACTTGTAACAGCATCGAACAATAAGATTATCCTACGTATAAAATACAGAGTAAAAAGAAAAAATAGTTAATCCTAGTTTATCCATACAACCGTTCATCGCCATGCGTCATAAAGTCACACCAGATGGTTACTCTTTCAGCAGTTTCCTCCAATGTTTTCTGTTTTGTTCCCCAATTAAGACTCAGTCCCTGAACACATTTGAAGGGACGATATACTCTTGTTATTTGAAGGGCTGTAATTATCATCAGCACTGACACCAGGTATTTCAGAGTACAGCTTATAACCTGATGCAATCCGCATCAATCATGGTCATTTATAGAGCAAAATAGAAGTTATAGGGCATAACAACCACGCAGATTGACTGGCTGTTCAGCATCAGCCCAAAATCTCAGTTGAAGTCAGTTAGCTCACACTGATTCTAGGGCTGCCTATGCTTAAGGTTCCGTTGGAGGCCTGTTCGACAACAATCAGTCTCACATTGATGACTTCTTTTAATGGGGTTGGGAGGATGTTGACTGATAAATAATAGTTGGTCGCAAATACAACTGCACTATTAATCAGTATCCTAAAATATCTGTCAGAGGAAGCCATTAGAATGTAGCGTGGTGTCGAGTTGAAGTTAACTATGAACACCGCTACCAAGAAACACGTGCCAAATGAATCAGAAGGCGTAGGTTGAACGTAACCAAAGAAACCCATGAAATCACCGAGAAGCCAAATATCAGAAGGCAGTTAATAGACCAAGTCGAGGTTTATTAGCTGGCGATCTCGTGGCATCGAAAGGATACCGAGATCGCGCCAGGATACAACCTTGGTTACAGAAGGTAACCGAATTCGCGCGAAGTTACAATCAAAGTGTAAGTATAAGAATGGAAGCACGAAATAACTGTCATTAGCACAGTCAAACAAAAGCACGTTAAAACAAACACTGGTACAGTTGGTTATAATAATAATTGTTTTTATTAAACCAGTCGTGTTCTCGTGATAAATGTGAGTCACTACAAGAATGAGATTGATTATTATTGAATAGTGCGAATGTGCTTATTTTCCTGTTTTGAACTTAGTATCTTGATGAGCATAAAATCATTAAATGGTTTTCATTGTTACAACCTGAGTTCAATCTAAGTTTATTTAAGAGAATATTTAATATATAGGACCTCAGTTCGAAGTCACACCGTTGTCTGCATTGACTCTTCATATCGTGGCGATAAGCAGTTACTTCCGAGAACTTTTGAAGATTACATATTGGATGGGGATAGGATAATATGTTTAACATAAAGTGGAAGAGGTTATATATAGTGATCGCGCCAAACCAAAGCACAGCATCAGTCATTTAAGTCACTGGCTTCTGGTCTGATATATGTTGATAGGTGCAGACTATTTGGTTGGGGTCCGTGTGACTATCGTAACCAATGGTTTGAGACTCTTGGTGATCACAACGGCATATGTGTATGCACTCTCTGTCTTCCCTTAAACTATGAGATTAAAATCGCTTCGTATCTTTCTTTCCACGAACTAATTCTTTCTTCCTGTACTATATTCTTATATGCGATCTTTGTTTTACATATTACCACCACTGAATTAACTACTATGAATCCGGTGTTCAGCTTGCTGTGCTAATGTGGTACGGCAACTTGAACTGATGCATATATGTCCCTGGCCCTGCTTTGTGGCTGACTGACTGACACTGCCTTCGTTCAGAGTTCTTCTATCTGCCTCTTTGATATTATTCAGTGCTCATAGTCTATTGCAAGTCTTCTCAGACATTCTATGTTCAGCTTTAATGATTATATTGTTAGAAACAAATGCCACTACTATATAACATTCAGTCACTTCTAATATATCCATAAATCTTAGCACAATCCTTCATCTTCTAAGGAAGAATTTATTTTTTCCATTTCCTTTACAATCGTACAGATAGATGCCTAGTTATTGCTTCAATCACTGAAAAAGAATTCAATTCACGTTCTGTGTTTATAGACAGAAAAGCGCATCTGGACACGAACAAACTATCGAAGAACTCCATTAACTCTTTTGAGTTGTCCTTAGCTGTTAATCACTGCTCTTTTATACTTCTGACATTGTTGAAGTATGTTAAGGAATTTTCACAGAATCGCTCATAAAAATCAGGGATAAAATACAGCATTAGGTGGAGCACACAAAATTCGGTTCATGATTCTGTACATTTCGCACATTATTTAAATAAATACCTGCGAAACATAAAGACTGTGATAGCAGTAAAACAGTAAGTTTACGTGATTGCATTCAATCGTTGACAAAGTTACCATGAGAATGCTGGATTCACACGATTATTTTCTAGTTCCATCCAATTCATGTTCAATGGTCTCATGTCTATTTCCATTTGCCTGCATTTTCTAAATGACGGCCTTCGTAGTTCTCCAGGTTTCTGCTAAATCGGCAACATATTACTAAATTACAACGCGATTTCTCTACAGGCAGGTCGTGGATCACATTGCACTTTGAGCTCTCTCACCGCATAGCATAGCACAATCACACGAAATAATATAACTCAGTCAATAATTTGTTACTAAAAATGCACATAGACTGGTCATAATGGAATGTGGTTATTCATATATCCTATTGTGCATCATTAACTACAACAAAATGTTTTACTACTAATACTACTACTACTACGA